ACCAAACCGGCCTCTGTCCGAACCGGCCTCTGCCAGGCCTCGTACCAAACTTACCTAACATTCCCAGGTCAGTCGCCGAACCGGCCTCGCCGAACCGGCCTCTGTCCGCACCGGCCTCACGAACCGGCCTCTGTCCGCACCGGCCTCACGAACCGGCCTCTGTCCGCACCGGCCTCACGAACCGGCCTCTGTCCGCACCGGCCTCACGAACCGGCCTCTGTCCGCACCGGCCTCACGAACCGGCCTCTGTCCGCACCGGCCTCACGAACCGGCCTCTGTCCGCACCGGCCTCACCGCACCGACCTCTGTCCGAACCGGCCTCTGCCAGGCCTCGCACCGGACTGACCTAACATTCCCAGGTCAGTCGCCAAACCGGCCTCGCCGAACCGGCCTCTGTCTGCACCGGCCTCACCGAACCGGCCTCTGCCCGCACCGGCCTCACCAAACCGGCCTCTGTCCGCACCGGCCTCTGCCAGGCCTCGTACCGAACTGACCGAACATTCCCAGGTCAGTCGCCGAACCGGCCTCACCAAACCGGCCTCTGTCCGAACAGGCCTCTGCCAGGCCTCGTACCAAACTTACCTAACATTCCCAGGTCAGTCGCCGAACCGGCCTCGCCGAACCGGCCTCTGTCCGCACCGGCCTCACGAACCGGCCTCTGTCCGCACCGGCCTCACGAACCGGCCTCTGTCCGCACCGGCCTCACGAACCGGCCTCTGTCCGCACCGGCCTCACGAACCGGCCTCTGTCCGCACCGGCCTCACGAACCGGCCTCTGTCCGCACCGGCCTCACGAACCGGCCTCTGTCCGCACCGGCCTCACCGCACCGGCCTCTGTCCGAACCGGCCTCTGCCAGGCCTCGTACCGAACTGACCTAACATTCCCAGGTCAGTCGCCGAACACGATACATACAGCCAACGACACTGCACACAGCACGTGGTTACGATGCAGATACCGGCGGACCGGACCCACCTGCCATTCCAACGGTGCCGGGTCCGTAGTGTTGCGCGGAGTCCATGGTCCGCGTCCCGCTCTGGCTCTCACCACCGTACCGTGCACGATAGAGGCTGCGTGATGCCAGCACACGCACGCTATCCTACCACACACGCGCAATCACGCCACCAGACGCGCCACTCGCGGCCCGCCTCTGTTGTCACCGTCGTCCCCTCTCACTGACTGACGTCTGTCCTCTCGTCTCCTCCCTCGCCCTCCCCACCCTCGCCCCTCCCCACGGACTGCCGCTCCCCAACCCACCTCCGACCCAGCTGGTCTTCACACTCCAGAGGGGCCACTAAACTTTATTAGGGGACCCTAATACCGATTATCGCCTTGTCGTTGCTTGGTTGTAAGGCTGGGGGGATCCATGTGATCGCAAGGCACCTCGCAGTTGCGATCAAACGTAAGTTGAATCGGAACAGATATTGGAGGGATCCATCACATCGTAGGCTAAGTAGATGCGCAAGTTGTATCGCAAATGGTGAAGATACGAACTAACTTTACGAATCTTCTCGGTCGATCGGAAGGCCGATCGTAGCGAAGCTTTACCTCTTTCTCAAGAGAAAAATATAAGAAATTTTCAAAATTTTCACAAAACCGAAATATATGTTAAACAAATATGGTTGATGAACACGTGTGCAAAATTTGAAGTCGATTTCTTCAAAAATGGCTGCGCTAGAGCGTTTTAAATTTACACGTTGAAAACGCTCACTTTCACGTCATTTTTGTAATTGTTTTTTTTTCCATTTTGAAATTTAAAAGTGTTTTGGGCAATTTTTCGCGTTAATTGCGAAAATCTGACCAAAACATGTATCGCACCATCAATGATCCGATACGCCATCAGAGGCCGCGCCGCGGACAGGTGGGCGCGGCGATACCTAGGCTGCGTGGAGGTTACACTGGTGTTCGGGAAGGGCTATGTCAACGCGAGGCAGGCCGCGGGGGAGCCGGTTGCGGCGCCGGTCCGTATTTGTCGGCGCCTAACAGTGCAGCGGTGCGTTTATGGCGGAGGGAGGGGAAGCGGTGTAATGTCGGCAAGGCCGCACACAGGAGAGGGCACACGGGCCTCCCCCCCCATTCGAGTTGGGGCTCCTAATCTTTAGACCGCCGAAGATCATGTAAAATGAACTGAAATAATGATTGAAAAGACCGGGAGGGCCCATCTCGTTCCCCAGCAGGCCCATACGAGTCCATAAAGTCCATTGTGGTGAAATTTCAATGGCCCTCAAAAGACCTCAAAGGGCCAACAGATGGGATCACCGGGTCCTCAGATGGTCTCGAAGGGCCCTCGGTTAGCGTCAAATGGCCCTCATCTGGTGTCAAAGGGCCCTCAGATGGCCAAATGAAGGGCCACAAGATGGCCTCAAAGGGCCGTCAGATGGGTTCAAAGGGCTCTCAGCCAACGTTAAACCTACCTCAGAAGATCTTAAAGGGCGTCAAAGGGCCCTAAACCTGCGTCAGAGGGCCCTGAGCTCGCGTCAAACGACCCTCCGAAGGCCTTAAAGAGTCCTTAGCTTGTGTCAGAGGGCCCCCAGCTGGTGTCAGTGAGCCCTCCTCAGCTGGCGCCAAAAGTCCATCTGAAGGCCTCAAACGGTCGTCAGCTGGAGTACAACGGTCCTCAGATGCCGTCACGCGGCCCTCAAAAGACTCGAGGAGCCCTTATAAGGTCTCAAAGGGCCCTCATTTGGCCTCAAAAGGCCCTCCGCTAGCGTTAACCGGACTTCAGAAGGCCTTAAAGGGCCCTTATCTGGTGTCAGAGGGCCCCCAGCTAGTGTCAGAGGGTCCAACCGCAACGGTCCTCAGGTGGCGTCAAGCGGCCCTCAAAAAGCCTCAAAGGCCGCTTAGAAGGCAGCAAAGGGCCCTCATATGACCCCAAAGGGTCCTCTGCTGGCGTCAAACGGACCTCAGAAGGTCTCAAAGGGCGTCAAAGGGCCCTGAGCTCGTGTCAAATATAAAAGCGCCCTTAGCTGGTGTCAGGAGGCCCCCAGTTGGTGTCAGCGTGCCCTCAGCTGGTGTCAGAGAGCCCTCAGTTGGCATCTACTGGCCATCAGAAGGCCCCAAACGGTCCTCAGATGGCGTCCAACGGTCCTCAGCTGACGTTAAGAGGCCCTCAAAAAGGCCTCAAAGACCCCTCGGCTGCTGAAGAGGCCCTTAGCCTCAAAGGAAACTCAAGAGACGTTAAACGGCCCTAAAAAGGCTTGAAAGGGCCCTCTGCTGGTGGCAAAGGGCTCGCATATGACGTCAATAACAGCTTTGTCAAAAACGGACCTGAGAGACCTTGCCGGCCCCTGGTTATAAGGGACTCCTGTCTCTTGCAGTAACCTGAGTGGCCCACGTTTACTGAGGGGCCCCTGGTTATTGAAGGAGTCCCTGGTTACTGGAAGGACCCCTGGTTATCAGAGGGTTCCCTGGTCACCTGGTGGGTCCCTGATCAATTGAAACCTCCCGATCATCTGAGCGCCCCTTGATTGCCTTGGTCTTGGCGTTGGCGTACAGTTTAAAGTCGTCGGCACACTGCGGCCTCCTCTTTCTCAACAAGTCCCTCTATTTCTTCTGCAGCGAGGGCGATTTCGTCAAAATACTCCTCCATCGCGAAGCCTCGTGCGCAGACGCAGTCTTCGGGGCGCTCGCTGCGCCAACTCTTGACGCCAACTGACGGGCTCCAAATGGAACAGATGGACTCCGAAACGAACGTGGGAATGCCGACACATGATCCCTCCAAATTTACAGAGGAGGAGATGTCCCTGACAGCCCATTTGCAATAGGGGTCACTTTTACACTATAGACGTATGGGGAATTCGAACTTATCGACATTGTACTACGAGGTCAGCTGATCTGCTTGGCATTTAAATCGTAGTAAAACTGGCATTTAAACGCTGCGAAACAACTTACGTACAACGTAGCTCCGATTTGCCGCTCTTTCTTTTTCATCCCTCCGATTTTCTTCCGATCAAGAGAAGTTTCGTACCGAGAGAAGTTTCGCAGCCACGTCCGATATAACTTACGATTGCACGGATCCCCCCAGATTCTAATTTGAATTAGAGTTAATTCGGTTTAGAATTAATTAGATTCTAATTCGAGGGTACATAGTGCCTACTCTTCTTTGTTTCCAAGTATTATTTTGCGCCACAAATGAACGGCATGCGCCAGAAACGCAGCCAAATCTTGCGATTGCGACTACGAAATTCATTATTTTGGCGTCAGAGCCTGAAGCGAAAAATACAAGCATATTTATTTCAAAAAAGACTTCAGGTTTGTCGAACGGTGTTATGAGAATTTTGATAACAGTACTGCATAAGTTTTTCAGTGATGCCGCAAAAATGTTGTATCTATCTTCTTTTATTGTGCAGTCGGCGGGACCGATTCAAAATTGAGTCGTTGCTACTAAAATAGCAGCATATGGCGTCAGATGATGAACAGGAAAAATAGTTGCGTAAATTTAGACATAAACCACCCCCAAACCATGAATATCTTTTGAAGGCACTATAGACGACCATTAACTAACTAGATGTGATGAAGATCAAATGTAAGGAATACGCTCATTTTACAAAATTACATGCAAGTACCAAAAAGTGATGTAAGTACTTATTCAACGGTCATTTTCAGCGCTCCCCGCTAACGTGACTTCAAGTTGAGATATTTGCGGCAAGGTACCGAATTGAGCAAAATGGTTTTAATTTACATTATAACTTGTTGTGTTTTGTCAGAAAATGGTCCTAACTCAGATTTTGTGAAAAAAGGTCATTATCTCCCTTTAACAGAGATATTTAACGATGTTTTTGTATTTTTCTCAAAATTGTTTTCAGAGGTACTTAAATTCAGCCTGTGAGAATAAAAAGGAGACTCGATTTAAAACAAACATCTCGACGTGGCTGTTTCAGCTTCCCAGATGCGTTCGCGGCGTCTTGCTGAGGTTGCATTTGAAAACTGGTGCTTTATCGGTAGTTTTCTGATAACCAACAATACGACACTTGAGCACGGTGAAGCCTATGTTGACAACTCACGTCTACGATTCCAACCCTGAGTGTCCTTCCTTCGAAGGAGGTCGGTCCTTGGGCCAGCTGGGGGCACAGGTAAAGGCCATCCTCCACCGACCAGGTTCCCCTCGTCTCCACAATGGGCTTCGGGTCGTAAGGGAAAGTCCACGCCTCTGTTATGACGGCTGAAAGCAAGTCCTGAAACCAAATGTACGCATGATCAGCAATTGGAAATGTGGGAGTGACTTTCTTCCACCTTTTCGAAATGTCTACGAAAAAAATGGATTCCAGCGCCTATTTTGACCTTTTCCACCTTTTCGAAATGTCTACGAAAAAATGGATTCCAGTGACAAAAGATACGCTGGCAGAGGGGTGTTTTAAAGGGACTATCCCACCTTTAACATGGGGTTTGAGTTGAGATAGCCGAGTTTGCGGCGAGGTTCAGAAACCACTATCTATCTAGGTTGCAACCCCCGCGGCCTCTTGGTGTTGAAGAAATTCGTTCCCTTCATTTGAAAATGGGCCTTGTACAAGGCCCTATCTTCAACATGGAGCGACCGTTAGTGTGACGTCACCTCGTTTAGTCATTCTGATTTAAATGGGTTTGTTCGTTGAAAAATCGCTTAAAACTTGGTCTGAACTTAGTTGTGGTGCCTACAGAGTAAAAAGAATCAGCTTTATGACAGTAATGTGGTCTGGGGAAGGAGGTAATTTTGGGCTGTGACGTCACATATTTGAAAGTTTGTGTTTGGAATATGGGAAGCCTAAGATGTTTAATGAAAAATAAATGCCAGAACCGTGTTCCTGGTCATCCAATCTACATATAAAGTCGGGCACAATTTAACTGGTTTTAACAACATTTTAGAAGGTGGGATAGTCCCTTTACGTTGAGTTTTGACCTACAATAAGAAAAGTGGGGAAGTGAAAACGGCCACTTGCTTCCCAGACATGTCTGACAGCAGCCTAACCTAACACACACAACGGCACACACTCTTCCGCCCATCGGCCATCCTGCCGCTGACCTGGCCGAGGCGCGCCTGGAACCAGTGGCTGTTGTGCTCGGCCACGTCCGGCACCCAGTCGTCCTCGGTGATCACCAGGATCTGCTCGCTGAAGCGGCTCCTCTCGGTCAGATAGGCGAGCTGGGCGGCCAGCTGGACGGCCGACGGGGCCGCGCTGACGGTCAGACCCCGTCCGCTGACCAGCGCGCTCCGCTGGGAGGCCGCCCAGTCACCCAGCTGCCGGCTGCACGTGACGTGGAACGCGCGCTGACGGCCCGTGTACAGCTGGTGCACGGTGGTCGCGCACACCTTCCGCAGCAGCGCCCCGTCTGCCCACAGGGACACGTGCTCGTCATTTTCATGGCACTTAAACGGTATTAAATTGAACTGATGCTTTTGTTTTACTCAAAGGCAAAAGAACTTGAAACATGAACATGCATACCGAATGCATAAAGTATCAATTTTGACCCTTGTGACAAACCTTCGATGATGAAGTTGATGTAGTCGATGTTGAGCTCATTCACGAAGTCTTTCACGAGACGTCGAATCACTGCGTCCCTGGACCAGACGATCCCATCCTCCGGAGGAGCAGCTTCAGGTACACTGGCGGTAATGTTTGAGCCGAAACCATCCGTAGCCTGAAGCAACGCAAGGACAAGCTGCCAGCGGCGCCACACGCCGGCTGCCGCGGCCATCGCCGCTGTCCCCTGTCACCGGAGAGCTGGCGACCCGGGTGACTGACTGACCCCTGACAGACCCGAGGAGCCGACTGCAGGCGGGAGCTGACTGACGTCTGACACCGCTCCCCAGACGCGGGGAGTGAGAGCTCCGTGTTCCGTGACGGTCTCGCGCGGTAAACCGCCTGATGCGTGACGCGCCAGTGACATCCGCCGATCCAGAAAAGCCGCTTGAGGTGCTGTCAGTAACGCCGTCTGAGACCCTCGCACTTGGACGCTAGAATTTCATCGCTTGGCATCGTAAAGATCCGTATCAAATTTCAAAAGCGGCTGCACCACTGCACGTGTCTTAGCGGCTGCTGCATGACAGTTGCAAGTAATGAAATGGGCAATAAGTATCGCTTGAGTGTTCCAGTTTCGCAGTTAAAGTGGATCGCGCAATAAGCCCCTTGAATTTGAAAGTACCTATTTGGGGTAAGACGCTTGCATTTGCCCTTGGTTAAAGAGGAAAAAAGCGAAGAGCCACTGACCACCTGAACCGCCGCTGTAAAATCGGACTTAGTACTTACTACTCTGCAAACACATTGTTTTAGTGGCAAGGGCTGTACTATTCAGTTGTTTCAGTCTCAGTGACTGGTCGAGTCCGCAGCTGCCGCCGATCCCAGCAACTCGAAACGAACCTGAATATTTCTTAATGGCTAATGTCCCGTGCCTCGCGCAATTTTTCGATTTAATGCAGAATACATAGTTATGTCTGAGAGCATTTGTATGACTTTCGTCCAAAAGAAGAAACATAAGTTAAATTCTCTACCCTTGACTTATAATGAAAAGTAGCTGTTCTTTTCAGACATTCGCGAAAAACCGCAAGGGTGTGCACCCCTCCCCCCTCCCCCCACACACACTCAGCAGGGCGCGGGCCGCGGGATATTGTAAAAGTTGCTAGACTGTCGTCTGGTAAGCGCTTAGGTGCCATTACCAACGGCGTCGACACACAAACACAGCTGTCAAAACTAGGGATAACCTGCATAGTTGGCTGCAATATCGCCATACAAATAAAGGAAATTTAAACTGAAGTCACAAACACCTATGATGTATTGAAAATCTTGAGCGCTCAAGAACGGCGCATTTGAAGATCAATATAGTTAGCCTTCCCAAGAACCAGGCCATTCCAACAGGCAACAATTCTGAATGGCTACTTAGGAGCTTGTTCAACAATTTGGCTCTCTTTACTCGGATATGATATGGTCCATTTACATTGAATTGCTGCTGATTGCTCTGAATAATAGGTCATTAGACTCTGTCCTTCACAGTAAGTTGCAAGACACGACAGTTATTGATCCAATGCATTGTGCTAGTGCGCTACCTCTGATAACTCGAGGGTCGTTTCCTAATGCCTCCTTATCGTGACGCCTTTAGGTCAATGTGCCTTTGAAGCCCATCGACCCCCGAGCCCATCAAGCCTCGGCAGTTCTGATTCACGTCTGGCAACTCCCGTATAACGTTATGATCTAATAACCCTATTTTTGTTGTTAATCTTATGCATATAACCGTAGTTTAAATGCAATGCGGGTTACACCTTTTATCATAATTAAAACGGAACTGCTCACCTTGGGATGTATTGGCGTTTCGTCAGCGGGCCACTAACCTACGGGGGAGGCATGGCCCCTCCTCACTTACCAGCCGTTCCGCCCCTGATCGAGCTACAGCTTCGCAAAAAAACCAAGCTTGTTGACCGTCGCAAGAGGAAGCCGATGATAGCCAATTTTAAGGTCCTTGGTCACTGGCTCACCTTGGCATCGTGATGTAATGGTACCAGGTCTGGTCCATTACCGAAAAGTCGGTAAAATCGGGACATGCTAGCTTTGGAAGTTATAACTCCTTAAAATGAGCCCGTTTATGGGGTTTTCGGGGTCCGAATTTCAAATTTCAGATTAGTTTTAATCAAAGATGATGTATTCATGCGTTCGCGAATATCTATAAAACGGCGGCGTTTTTACAACGATTTATACATTTTTCCGACACGTGAAAATTTCAGACCCGGGTCGTTCAGTTCAAGGTCAGGTCATCAGGTCACGTCAAGTGACGTTACCTCATGGAAAAAGCTCAAAGGCTCGCTACGTCCCTAGTCACAAAAAGTCCGGAGACCCACGGATGATGTGGGCTGACATACCTACCTACGACGAATCATAATTCTGGCCTGACACAGTCCCGAGAAACCGATCACAGGTCAGAGATCAATAGGATAATCATGAACTTTTTGAGGCTTGTGTAAATTTGATTCTGGGGTACTGAAAGTTTTGTGGGTATCGCCCGCTTTTTATGAGTTATTCACGACAAACCGAGGGACCACATCAGTCCTGCTCCAAGTCCGATGATTATTTCGAATTTATACCAACAATTAAATGCCTTCGTCGATGACCTACTGTTCGGTCAGTGATGTTCCGACATCAATACGCTGTCTTCATTGTTGTATAGTCGACTACAGAATGATGTTTCACTTTTCACAGGCAATTATTTGCCTGGATTATTTGCCCGTGTGATGCGGCTGTGCCGCATCCGCGGGCTGAGTTCACAAAGTATAGCTTTGTCCCAAGGCTCACAATCGACACGCTTAATTGCGTGATAAACGGCACAAATTAGCGCTCCGGTCAACTGATAGCTTCTGAGGTGTGGAACATCATTCTGCAGTCGACTATACAAGTGTACTTCTTCTTCCGGGTTTTATTCCATCATGTCTCATAGACATTCGCTAAAAGAACAAAAATGTTTTCCAAGCATTTCCATGTCACCTCTCTATCATATTTAACCCTCGGCAGGCGGCGGCCTTTAGCATAACACGGACGGCGAGGGGGATTGGTACGACCCCCCCCCCCCTCTGGCTATTGGCTCCTATGGCACTTAGAAACGCCAAATTTACAGGGTAAGTGGGCCCATAAGAGATTTCGCCCTCGTGAAAATTTGGTGACTCTAAGTTAACCCGCGCCCTGCTGGGGGGGGGTGTTTGAACACCCCCCCTTGTGGTTTTTCGCGAATATCTCAAAAACGGCGGCGCGGAGCGCCGCCGTTTTTGGTATACCTTATCATACATCAATTCTACACATGTTGTGAAAATTTCAGACCAAGGTCATTCAAGGTCAGGTCACCAGGTCACTTGAAGTGACCTCACCTCATAAAAAGTTTCAATGTCTGTCATAGCTACACCGAGTGACCGATCGCTTTGAAACTTTCAGCGATTGCTAAGAGCAATAGCATGTACAAAATGTATATCTCAGAATTTTGATATCGATGACCTAAGGTCAGGTCAATTTTGCGACCTCCCCATTATAAGTCAATGGGAGAAAATTGAAATGCGCCTCTTTTGGATGAAAGACATTATAAACACTCCCAAACACCGAATTACAAGTGGTTTAGACACACTGAACTTGAAAATGGTGTCCGTGACCCTTGTTTATGCCCTGAGGTCATCTTAGGTCACAAATGGTATCTATCAGTTTTTCGCAAATAACTTTTGATAGAGGCATGCTAGAGCGATGAAAACGCCTTAGATGTGTTCAGCTCGACGATACGGATCGACTGATATGCAACATGACCCTTTCCGGTCAGGTCATGACCTTGACCTGAGGTCAAATTTTCAAGTTGACCTTTCAAGGTCAAGTTATAGTTCATTCGATGCGTCTTGACGAGAGGAACACGATGCCGGTAAAAGTAAGCTCGTACAAGGCTTGGGTCAAAAGTTATTGCAGAAAAACTGTTTTCGAAAAAAATCGGCTATTATTGCAGTTTTTGCCCCCTGCAGGCAAAACCGTTGACGTTAGGTCAAATCTGAGAGAATTACTCAGAAAGGGCGTTAATAGGGCTATCGAATGCGCTTTTCCGCGGCGCTGTAGCTCTATTGGTTCCCGAGTTATGCGTTGGCTTCTTTGAAATTTTCGACATTCGACCTGGAAATCGGCGAAATTTTGCCTTCAATGACCTCTGGTGACCTGACCTTTGACCTGACCAAAAAATTGACCGAAGTGATTTCGTCATTATTTTTTACGCTCTTTCGAACGCCGCCTTCCGCGTATCGCTACGTGGCCCAGGAGCCGAGTTACAAGGGGGGGTGTTCAAACACCCCCCCCCCAGCAGGGCGTGGAAATCCAGGACCCCCAGCAGGGCGCGGGTTAATATATAGGACCACCCTTGTGGCGCAGTTGGCAAGTGCGTTCACGTTTGGTGTGGGAGGTCCTTGGATCAAAGCTAATCTCTTGCAGCGTTTTCCTCGGCCGGCTGCTACCCAGGAGATGGCAGTAACTGGGGAGTGTTCGCTCGGTCGTGGGGATTACCGCTGTGCCAGCCAGCAGCGCCCCCGGCCTCAGGGGAGGGGGTGTTTGAACAAACCCCCTGCAGTTCTTCGTTTTTGGCACACCTGTTCATGCATCTTTTCCACACATGTTTTGAAAATTTCAGACCCAGGGCTCTCAAGGTAAGGTCACCAGGTCACATAGGCGTAGGAACGTTTTCGAAAGTGGGGGGGCCAGGGTCCCAGAGGTCCAAAACCTAACCTACCCCCAAAATCCGATTTCTCCTCGGATTTCGGCCACTTTGTTTTCGCAAACATGCTCAGAGGTAAAAAAAAATGACAAAAAAAGAAAAAAATTGGTTGAAATTTCAGGGAGTCTCCCGTCCATAAACTCAAACTGATGGACGCGTTCCCCTGTCCTCCGCAGCCGTTGGCACCCATGCAAATTCCAGAGGCATCCAGCAACTTTTTCATTACGAGCAAGCGTGAAACGTGCAAAGCGAGTCTTTTCCATATACCTATAAAAATCAGCATGAACGGCCCAGCTAGGCTCAGCCAGGCCTATAACGTTTTTAAGAGGTTTTATATCAGCGACCACTGCAACTGGGCTGATTGACTATCACTTATCAGAGGCCGGTGTGGGACTTTTAGACGGTCTGGGCCTTCAGAGGCCAGTTTAACCCTCCACGGCTCGGTCCTATAGGTTTTCTACATACGCGCTGGCCGAGGGGGCGGGGGGCGGGTACGACCCCCCTCGCCGTTTCGCCCCAGGTGGAGCTAGCGCGTCGCGGTAAAACGAGCGTGTGCGCCGTTACGAGACGCAGAGATCGGTAGGGGAGAACGGGGCGATTTGGCCGCCCTTTTGTAAAAACGATATTTTGAGAAAACCAGTGCGCGTTTGGTCGATTTCTCCATGGAGGGGTGTGGGGCGTTCAATTGTTGTTCCGGCATATTACCTGCATCATGCCGGGACATCTCGTTTCGGTAGTAATTAGCCGTTCTTTCAAAGACTGCACGGCGGCCAAATGACCCCGGTACCGGGGTCATTTGGCCGGGGGAGTGGGGTCATTTGGCCGGGCATGTGATTCAGAGATATACCCATTACAGAGCTGAGACAACCTGAAATATTGACGCCCAAGATTTTGCTTAACTCATGAATTCTGGATTGACTCGACGCATGACTGATGTGACGATCCAGATGCCCCAATGCTGACCCAAATGATGAGCATCGTGACTCATCTTTGATTCGCCT